AGTTCAATAGGGAAGGAGTCGAGAATTAATATGTAACAGTCACTTCTAGTTTGATAGTCTTTCAATTAAATTTCGCTTTGTAAGAGATGTGAAAATGACAATACCCAAATCTATTATGTTCGATTGTTCTGAATTGCAAAGATATCCAAAAGTTAAATCTAAGCAGTTTGAGTTTGATATAGATACAATATGTATTTAAGATTTCATTCTTAAACAATATACCAAGATCTCACATTTTTGAAAGAATTCTAAGTATATCTATCATGACCTTACGTTCTCATAAACCTAAATAGAGTCTCAATTGAATATTCTACTTTATAAATACGAACTTTGGATTTAGTATAAATGTATTACATTAATTAAAGCTTTAGTTTATTCATATTTTCACTCCAATAAAATCAAAATTTACCATAATGTTTTTATTTTTAGTAAACAAATCTAGAGATATTTATATTTTTCTTACCAAGATTGTCATTTGTATCATTATCTTGTCCAGATAGAGGATGATCATAAAGACGAATATAAATCTAAATAATAAAATTTGAATAATTTTCTTTTTTTTTTAAATTTTTTGTTCATTTACTTCAACAGCAATTTCGGCTGCTTGACGAAAAAATCGATGACCTTTCATATGATCTTCGAGATTGAGCATATCAACATAAGCACATAGCACCATTTTACGAAGACAATATGAATGAAAATCAAATTGATCTTCAATAAACTCTTGAAAATGCTAAACAAAAAAAAAAAATATCAAATCAAAATAAAAACAAACAAATATACTCGATCAATTTCATGACATTTTTTTAGAGCTTCACCATATTTTTTTAAACGACGATAAGCTCGAGCCATTTCTAATTCAAACCACATACATTGCATTTCACGAAGATAATCAGCTGGTAAAGAATTTTCCTTCATATAAAAAAAAGAACAAAAAAAAAAAACAAAACTTATAAATTTTTCATAATTTAATATACAACAAACATTTATACTCGTGTAAATTTTCCAGCAATTTCAAGTGCATTATTTATTTGATTAGCACGTAATAAATATTTTGTACATTTACAATTGACAAATCGATCAGCTGTATCAAGTGATTGAGCTTCATCCATCCATGAAGCAGCCGTTTGAAAATCACCCGCATGCTATTTATACATAAAATAAACTATTATTGAAAAATGAAAAAAAAAAAAAAAACAATAAGAATAAACCTTGAATATTTTTGCTTTAAACATATAAAGTTCTACAAGTGTTGGTGTATCACATATAGCTTGATTAATATATTCAAACGCTTTATTTATATCACCCAAATAATCGTAATGTTGAGCAAGATAATACTGAAGCCAAAGAAGACTGGTAGGTGGTTCGGTTTCTTTTGTTAAATTTTCAATACCTTTAGATAATAAAAAGTTATTGTTTCAAAATTGTTTATATGAATTTCAAGTATATTAATTTTGTCAATTTTGTAGAAAAAAAAAAAAAGATTTTCAACAATGTAGAATTAAATCATACCTGATGAAATTTCAAATGTTCCATATTTAATTAGATTATTTAAATAAGTACGTAGAAGTGTATCAATTATTTGAATCTGTAAAAGAAAAATAAAATAAATTATAATTTAAATAGAAAGACAAAGAAAACTGACTTTTTCTGGTGTTGCATATAAAAATTTAACAGATTGAAAGAGTGATGGTACACCTTTTTGAAGTCCTCTTTGTAAATATAATCCAACGGCTTTTGCAAATGGTTCACCTAAACAAGTAAAAGTTTATATATATATTTTCAAAAACAAACAATTATTAACAAATGTATAAAGTTCTCATAAGAAAATTTGATTATATGTGGCAACTTATACACTAAAAAGAATATTGCTAATATTGTCTTATTTACAATAACAAAAAACTCTTAAGTGTTATATTGCTAGAATTCTACTGGTAGATATTAATTGAAAACTATTATTTACTTCGAATGTAAACATACTCTAATGTATTATTTATGAATAAGACTGTAAATATTGAACTAGAGATGATGATGATGATAGAATTCAGAAAATCAGAATACTGATTCGAATATATAATTTCAAGCATACTGAAAAATATTTTCAGTTTAACATGTGCATGAATCAAATGTTATTTAGTATAACCTATCAATTGAAATAAAGTTCATTCGACATGCATGATTTTATTGAAAGCATCAAGTCACATATAAATATATAAAGAATCTTCGTAAGACATTATAAACAAATAAATACAATCATATTCATTTGTAAAAATATGCTTTCGTTCATCTTAATTCGAGTGTAATGATTATGAATACTTATTAAATTAAAAATTAATTTAATAGTTCATCAAATCAATTTGAATGTACTATACAGTCTGAAATGTTATAAAGTTTCGATTAAATATTACTTTCATTTTATATAAAATTTTAATATTTCAAACGAAATATATATTAATATTTGCTTATAGAACGATTAAAATATAATTACCGGTTAGAAATTGTAAACTTATTTGTTTGGGTGCATCAGCTTTTGGATATTTTTCAATAAGATTTTCATAAAGTTTTGTTTTATCATCAATATTTGTTAAATGTAAACATTCTTCTAACATATAATAATATTTTTTATTTCCAGTATTACGTTCAATTAAATCTCGTAAAATTGTTTCAGCTCGATCATTTGTACCCAAACGCATATATAAATCATATTTTATTTCTGCTAATACTAATTTATTATATATATCTTTTTCATGTACTTGTATATGACGTAAAGCATCTTCATATTGTCCACTTTCACGTAAAACAAGATTTTGATATAATAAATATTCTGAATGTTCATTATCATATAGTTTATCTGGTGAAGGTGCTGGACGATCTTGTTGAGTTTTACGAAATTCTTCTAGTACACTTTGTGCCATATCATAATCACCTAATAAATGATAAGACATTGCAAATCCAACCCATGATTGACGTTGACCAGGTTTTAAATTAAATAATTGATGACGTGTTTCCTAGAAAATAATTTCATATTATTAAATTATTGATTTTCTTCTTTTTGTTTTTATATATTACTTTGTAACCATCAAGATCACGCATTTGAATTTGTAATAACGATAAATCACGAAGAATGGTTAAACTATCCTATCAAAATTAATCGATTAATTAATAAATAAATAATTTCAAGAATAAAAATAATATATGTTCGATATAATCAATTAATAATTATATTTTACCTACTTTTTCACATTGTAATGCTTTTTTATAAGCTTTTATAGCTTCATCATATTTACGTTCAGATCTTTGCCATAGACCATAAACATGCCATACTACATGACTCGTAATATTATTTTTAATTCCATTACGAATATTTTCTAAAGCTTCTTCTTTTCTACCCATAGAATTAAGGATTAAACCTTTCATAGACAACGTTTCTAGACAATAAATAATGTTAAATTCAGTTGTTTTTTTTATAGACACATTACACATACCACCATGATTTGGAAATTTTTTTAATATTTCTCTAGCAGCTGCCAAACCTTTTTTATATTGTTTTTGTTCATAAAAACGCTATTTAAATAGAAAATAAGATCATATATTGATTCATAAAAGAAAAATTATAATCGTACGACAAGTTTTTTAAATTGACTATTTTCACGTGTTGTCAATTGTTGACTGGGAGTTTGAGTTGATTGATTTGGTGGTGGCATAATTATCTATCTATGAACGAAAGAAAAAAGATAGATAGATATGAAAAACTTACAAGTTCAATTTTTGAATATATTATAACATACCTTTGATTGTTTTAAACTTTAACTTAAAATATAAATAGGATTATGAGAAAAAAACTGAAATCCTATAATGAAAGAACAAGAAAATAAATAAACAATGAAATACAGAAAACGGAGGTCGACATTGAAATATCGAACATCCAATATTTGTTGATCGATAATAAATAGGGATTCAAAGAATTGCAATGGTTGAATACAAACCATTAACATATAATTTGAGCATCGACTGGATGGAAACTATCGCCATCTAGATCGTAGCTTTTGTTTTTCTACTATATATATCAAGATTGTAATAACTGAAAAGTTCGCATAACATTTCAAATCAAACTAACTATAAATTCATTTTTGTTTTGTAATGAAAATGTACATTTTAAGATCAAGATGTATTAGCAAAATTAAATTAGATACACTCAGAATCTAATAGCAATTGATATTAATTTAACAATTCATATATTTTCTCAAGCGGATGTGGGTGTGGGATGGAGTGTGGATGAAACGAGATGTCTTAACTTTACACTCACTCATATATATAAACAAATGATATAAATGATTTTGTGAAAGAAAAGATTGCACATGTAATGGATTGACACTTTTTCCATCAATGATTAGTAAAAACGAATGCTTGATATCATTAAAATGAAATGTTCTTAAAAGAGAAGATTCATAGATAAATAAGCATTGTACATAAATGATAAAAACAAAAGATTACAAATTTTCTCTCTTTCATATTATGTTAAAATCTTCATCCATACTCAATCGTCAACAATGAGCACTTGGTACACAATTGATATGTAGAATATGGGTCTCATCAAATGACAATGGTTTCAGAGAGAAATTAGTGTTGACATTTATAGGTACGAGTGGCATTGAGTTGAGTAAAAAGTCTTGATATTGTGGAAGAGGTGAAAGTATTGGTTCGACACTTTGATTTGTCGTATTATTATGTCGAAGAATAGCAAAAAATTGATCACTATCATTAGTGATGATAGCTACACGAATCCAATAGATACTTGCCAATGATCCTTGGTTCATAGTGACTAACACATCATAGCGTTGACTGATATAGATCCATACCTGTTGCACTTCATAAGGTTGTACATATACACCATCGATAGCAACTATTGTCAAATTATGATTATCAATAGAAAATTGATAATTGAATTCACTGCCGGTTGCAATTAGACGAAATCGATATGTTTGATTGTAGGCAACTGTTCAACATCCATAAGGTCGATGGGATGCACAAATGAGATTATCATCGAGTTGATTCTGTTCTTCACCAGTTATATTAAGCATTAATAAAGGTTGTTCAATTAAAGAGCAGTCGTATCGATCTTTGCCATTCATAATACCTGACAAGAATACTGCGCATCCATGATGATGATTAGTTGGATGTGTAGTAAGAATATCAAATTGGTCAATCGCATATCTATGCCACCATTCAGTCATCGTAAGTAAAAATTCGGGCAAACCTTCGTATGGATCTTCCAAATCTTCAACAATAAGTACCCCGAAGAGACCGTCGGCATATTGAGTACCAATGTGTGAATGAAACCAATGAGTACCGACAGAACTTGCTACGAATGTGTAATGAAATGATTGCATAGGCATTATTGGATATTGAGTGATGTGTGAAACCCCATCCATCCAAGGTATATTCAATTGATGAATTCCATGCCAATGAATAGATGTTGATTCATTTGGGAGATTATTGTGAACAATAACCTGAATGATATTGTTCTTGCAAGCACGAATTGTTGGTCCAAGAAAATTAAAAATTCCATCATCATCATCAATCGCAATCACAACATGATAAACACCATCGGGATTGTACTTAGCATAGTGAATAGTCCAATTATATTGAACAGTAGTTGCTTCAGATAGAATCACAGCAAAATTGAATAAGATAAATGTTGTTATCATTGCTTTCACTGTTTGTTATGTGAAAAAGATCCTATTCGAAAATAGATCAAGTATAACAAGTGCTAAAAAGTACTTAGAACAACGTCAGAGTGGTTGATGTGACAGTGGTAACAACTAGTTATGTCCGGTTTTCGATATTCGAATATACAAAGGCCTAATCCTTTCTGATTATAAGATTTATTCTATCTGAAGAGTTTTTTCAATCGCAGTTGGTTGACTAATGTTTTTCTTAATGTACTTTTGTATCAGGCTTTTTTTTAACATTCTCAACTTCAATTACAGTAAAATGTAGTCGCGATAGTTCTTTATTCTCTGTCCAGTTAACAGCCTAAAAAAAGAGTTGTTGAGAATGAGATTGTTTAGAAGAAGAACAAAATCTAATAGTCTTACAACGAACAAAGCATAATTGAAGCTATATTCAATTATAATTTGAGTTCAAATTGTGGTAATATCGGATGAAAAATAGCAAGGAGAAAAATATCAGTTGAGAAACTCTCATGGTAAAATTTCTTTTGAAGTTGTTAAATCCTATGATCATACTTACTCAATACATCGTTTTCTTTAAATGGTAAAAACCATAAGTGTTTACATGTTTCTACTCTAAAATAAATAATGTGAAGCTTACCCCATTTATTTCCTTCTAGTATGTGTTGGAATCTATTTTAAATAAGACATACAAACTCGTGAAGAATCATCGATTCTCAGCTATATTGGATATTCTCTCTCGTGACACTTTCTCTGACATAGTCACAACTAAGCTATTCTATAGGTCATCCGAGATTTTTGGATGTCAATGTTGTGTAACGTCATTCTGTCTACTTCCTTTTTTTAAATGTGCTGTGAACGTTACACGAAATTCGAAATGCAATTTGTAATACTACTTAGCTTGTCAAATAAATTCGCGCCTCTAATATTATCTAATCAAATAGATTGATAATGAGGATATAGCAGATAACTAATGATTCAAAAACAAGCCTTCAATCTTTTATTTGAAGTATGTGTCACTTCTTTTGTTCACTTAGATGAAGTTTGTTTTTTTTCACTTCGAGAATAATCATAACAATAAATGAGTCATTTTCAGTAACTTGAACCGCTAAGTATTGATATCGTGCAGAACTATCACCAAAAATAAGAACGAAAATCATCAAACAAGATAAGCTGAAAAAATAACAAGAGAAGCTTATTTAAAACTTTATCAAATGTTATAACCATTGCTACACGAATTCCTTTGAAACATGACCCGCTGTGAGCGTGGGTATGTCGGTAGGGTGTGACGCTAAGTATGCGGGATTTTGGGGGTGAAATGAATGAGAGTATTCATTGAACTTGGTCCATACTACACCTTCACTTTCAGTTATCACAACCTATACATCACACAGATACACAACTACCATCTATCACTAGTGTCAACCTCACTCTCTGGATATCATTATCATGTATTTTAGACTGTGGCTCTAATCATAGTTCACTTTCACTGCTTGATTATCTACTTCTTACTCATTATCGTGAACTATCAAATAACAAAGATCAACGTATGTTTCTTTTGCTCTTTTTATTCATATTTATCTGCTTTCATGTTCTTCGTTTGATATCACATTTGCCTTTCTTTAAAAACATAATAATGATATAGGTATGAGAAACATAATTCGATTTTTATCTCTCTATTCAATTCCTCAAACGAAGCATTGATATACTTCTCTCTAGTTATAATTTAAATTCTTCATTTTCAAGTATCAAATTTTAATATTATTCTACATTTTAAAATTGCTTCTCTCGAATGTTTTTTACGAAATTAAGAATTGCAGTGAGTTCAAACATGATTTTATCTAAAATAAGATCATTTTATACCAGCAAGATAGTTTTCAATCGATACATTGTTTCGATTCGACTACTTCCTTTATAAAAAGTCTACAACAAATATAATAATGTCTTATGAATTAGAACGAAAACTTCCAATCAAAAAATTTGCCAAAGTATGATGATTGATGATTGAGTATGGATGAAGATTTTAACATGATATGAAAGAGAGAAAATTTGTAATCTTTTGTTTTTATCATTTTTGTACAATGTTTATTGATGAAAGTAATTCAAAAAAAATCGAAATCCTCATAGAAAATAAAACAAGTACATGAACAGAAAGATGAATAATTGAATATATTCAAACTGATTCTTAGTTTAGTCTTATAAATTTTAGATTAATTGTTATCATAATGAATACTTCGAATATATTTCATAAGTATCGAAAATGGTTCGGTCTCGTATGGCTGATAATTGAATTGAATTTACTCGGAGGAAATATTCTCGGTTTTTCGGCACTCTTTGATATATTGCCAAAATATGGGATATATTCAAATTTATGTGTCCATGCTACGTTTGGAAATACTTCGAATGCACAAAATAGAACAATCAGTGAGAATTGTGACAGACAAACTGGAAAATATCAGGTATGTGTGAACATAAAAAAAAAAGATTAATCGATTGTTTTGAAATATAATTTGTTAGCTTGCTCTTACCATCGGTATTTGGTTTTATAATTTGATGCCATTCTTTCTTGGTCATGTGATTAATTATTTTGGATGTCGATTTCTTAAACTTGTCTCCATGTAAGTTGAGTCAATTTCGAAAATATGATAAAAAGTTCTTGTTGTAGAGTTTTTCATATAGTCGGCTGGCTGACTTTGGCTTTTGTGGAACCGGGTATGAAATCAGTGATGATAGTTGATCATTTTTATAAATTATTATTTTTTGATGATTTAGGCAGAGATTATCTTGTTTTCATTCATACTGTGTTTATCTCAGTTTCATCTATTGTCATTCTCATAACTTCTTTTGTTTATTGTGGTTATTTTGCTCGTTATCGAGGTCTTGTTTCTTCAATTATTGCTGGTGCATCGATCTCATCAACAATGTGGTTTTCAATTTTTCAAGTAAATTATTGAGCAATACATAACTATTACCATGAATTGTTTTCCTAGGTATTAATCAATGGTGGTCGAACAAATCTACGAACACTTTCAATTATTTGGACAGTTTTTGTTGTACTAATGATCGGTAGTGCTCTTCTCTTTATGGATTGGCGATTTCAATTGTTGAACTTGTCATATGGATTCGTTACAAATTCCGAGACGGATAAACAATCAAGAAAATCTATTGGTAAATAAATAATGATCAAATAATGAATGCAACATCATGAAGTTATTGATTATTTTTTATTCTAGAGATTGACAATGCGGCAAACATGATTAATATGCCTTGGTATCGACGTATAGTGAATCGTGTTGGTGTTTGGCAACATTTATTGAATCCAATTTATATTTTTGTAGTACTCTATTTGAGTGTTCTCCTTTTACCGGCTGTGTTTTTACCAGTCACTTGGTTTCCATGGATAATGTATGTTACGAATGGCAATGAGAATCTTTGTAAGTATCGATTTCATGTTGAATTAACTGTAAAGTGAATTATTGTCTAGCGAACAGATATACATTAATATTTAATTTGTCTACTGTTGTTGCTCTAATTATTTGTCCGTGTAGTGGTACTTTACTCGATTTTCGAGCTCATAGAAGTAAGACGAAAACAAATCTCAATTATTATGATTGACAAATAATTTGTTTTTTTTTTGGTTGTAAATTCAGATCATAAACAACGATTGTTTAATATTGCATTAATGCAAACAATCACATGGTGTACATCTATGGCAGTATGTATCGTTCGAATGTGCAATACGACCTGTTGTATCATAGCTGTAATAGTTCTGAATTGCATTGAACGATCACTCATTGTCGGTGGTAGTCAAGCTGTCGTTGCATCTTTGTAAGTACCAAATTCACTTTAAACATTTGTTATGATAGTAGTGACCTTCGAATCAATTCATCTAATGATGTTTTATCAACTATAGAAATCGAACAGTTCACATAGAATCGATTTTATTCATTTTAGTTTTCCATCGGAATATATTGGTACTTTAACTGGCGTGTTGTGGACATCAGCTGCTATATTTTCTTCCATACAATATGGTCTTTTGCCACTTGTTGAAGCTGTTGATAAAAGTTGGCGAGTAAGTTACGTTTCTAAAAAATATTCAACTTATCTAATGAGAACTCTTGTAGGCTTGGACTATTATTTTGGCTCTTATTATAGTCATGGCGTCTCATTGGATACAAATGTGGTATCTTTTTTTCACATCAAAATCAACTGCTGTGTCTAATCAAGTTTCAATATCATTGGAAAAATCTGAAGCCCATGGCCATGCTGAACATCATGCCTATGTTAATGGTATAAAGGAAGAGAATCCAAATAGAGATTAAAAGAAATTTGACATTTCTTTTCTTTTTTTTTGTATTAAGGGCTTATGAAGGTAGCATCTATCTACCAATACACTTAGGTTCTTTTATAGAACTTTTTTAAAAGCTTTTTGAATTGTTCAAAATATTTTAGTTAGTATCTATACAAAATTTCTCAAAAATTATCATTCGAAAGTCAACAATTAGAACTCTGCTACGCTTCGACTCATATAGACGATACATTTCTATATGTTATTTATCTTAAATAAATTCTTTTTCCGGGAAATTCTCATTTTTTTTTATGGAAACTACTAAAATAGTGGATTGAATTTCGAACCGAATTTCCAGTTAGAATCCATGCGAGATATTGCTCCTTCAAAAAATAGGTTCTATATTAGTATAGATCTTCTATTCTCACAGATTATCTTTTCTGAAAAACAACTCAAATATTCACCTAAGAAAATGTTCTTGTTTTCTGTTTGGCGCATGGACTATACAAATTCTCATAGCTACAATTCATATCTTTCTTACACTCTCTTATTGACATGTGTTCTTGGTATTTTTTGTTAGGATAGTGTTATTCTATGAGCTGCATATTTTAATTTTCTCATAGAAAATTGTATTATGGAATTAAAATGGTGAACTAGATATACATATTTCATCGCAATATCAAAATGAGATGATGATTGTAATCGTTGATCAAAAGATTAAAACATTCTATTTTCAACTTAAACTGAAGCAGTTATGATAACTGATTTTTTTCTTAGTCTAAAAATTCACTCATCATAAGACTTAATTCGTTTTAAGCTCAATATATAACTTTCTAGTTATTTTCACTAGGCAAATACGTTTTTTTTCATCGTATCTCGAATACAATTAGCAACGCAATGCATAAAAATCGATTAAGTGATGTTTTACTAAAACGGAATTTCAAAATTCAACTTGGATGAATAGGTTGTAGTTAGGCACATACCGTTTACGATTTTATCGTTCAACACTACTAGTGATTTTTCAAAAATATGAGATCTTGTTATTTTGAATAATTTCAATCTACTATTTAGCATAATGCTCGAATAACTTTAACAATATTTTGTTCATGATCTTGAGTCAGTAATTTGATAGGAGTAGCCAATGTTGATGATTGCATGAAACTTCGTATTTACTTTTCTACACTCGAAGTCTCACGACTAGTTTTTAATTCGTATTTTGGTATACGTACTCTTGACACTATTGGTTTGTGAAAGTCGATGTGGAATAACACAAATGAATATTTATTTTGTTTTTCTTGGTTTCGTAAACCTAGACAGAGAGATAATAACAGAATTTTCTTCGTTAAACTCTGTCTTTCATGAAGAAGAATGTCTGATAAATAAGTCAATTCCTTTCAACAACTATTCGAAATTTATTATGGATGAAGAATCTGTTCGCCTTTATAACATGTTGTCGCAGTTGAATCACCGATCACTCCTAATCAACTCAAATCTTTGGTAAATCAGACAAAGGCTGCTAGACCATCTTCAAATCCATGTAAATTATCATCAAGTTTAATTATTGATGGATACTCATTTCTACCTCGATTCATTGAGATGTGTTTGTGGAGAATGACAATCATCATATTCGTCGCGATCTCATCTGCATATGTTTCATATTTATACTCATATGCGCCAACCACTATCTGAGCTACATACAATAAAATTCATGGCAAAATGGGAAAAAAGTAGAAAATTGAATAAGTGTCGATGCAAATAACGTGGTTTTATTTCGATTGTTTGTGGTTAGTAATCAATCATAAGAATTGAAAAAGAATCATTTGCGAAACTAACTCAATTTGTTTTAGTGTATTCATTCATTAGAATTAATCTTCTTTTTTTTCTTTCTAGGCTATATGTATCAACTCAAAGATTCTGGTTGTTTTTTTTCTCATTTAACTTATGGCAACATTCCGAACATAGTTTGTCCTTTATGTACTGTAGCAAGAATGTATCGTGGATCTAAACGTGTCACAATCGTTGCCATAAGATTTCTCGTTCGAGCAAGATGTTTGGCACTGAAATCGAGTAAGACAAAATCAGCTGGACCGTTTTCATAGATGCCACCTTTCTCATTTTTTCCGTAGATTGTCGGATAGCTGTTGATTGTTGTGGCCATAGAAAGAATTGCCTTCGGATCATGTGTGTTATCACCACTTTGACTCTTACATAATCGATAAGCAAAATCCATTTCAGCGAGCATGTTCGGCTGATTAAGCATGACATTATCAGTTCCAAGCATTAGATTGATACCTTTGGTCAGTAGAGCATGAATAGGAGGTAATTTGAGGCCAAGTGTAGCATTTGCTCGAGGACATACGACGAATATGCGAGATCGAAGACTTAAATAGAAATAAAAATACTAAATAAATAGTCGAATAAAGTTAGTTATTACCAATCATCAGATCGTTGTTGTTGGATAATCACATCAATATCTTCCTGTGTTGCTTCAGTTAAATGTACTACAATGTCCGGATCATAAAGTTCAAATGCTCGTTGAAGATCACTTTGACGTCCACCCGTTCTAGCCAAACTCACACTTCTATAACTATCACTTTCCAGACAATGTATCGCTCGAAGTTTATTATTATATTGTTTCGACATTTCACGTATTGTTATCCATGCACGATCAGTTAAGTCGTTCATTGTACTTTCGGAAAATCCATCAGCAGCTGCTTCATTATCTTTTAAATTCCAAAGAGTTTCCAATTCAGATTTCGATTTTTCAGGTAATACTTGCGAACTATCCGTCAAATCAACAAATGGACTTTGATCAAATTGAGATAGTACAATTGATTTGATGCCCATTGCTTGCTTCTCTGCTTGCCGAATTAAATGAAGTCCATCAATACCTTGTTCACGAAAATCCCAATGCATGATAGTTCCTGTAGAGAGCATATATTTCATTGTATCACACATAGAATCGATTAGTTGTTGTTTGGATTGTTTTGCCAATTCAACATACTTGAAACCATGCGGTCGGAAGAAACCCTGTTCAAGTGTTAATCCAGTAGCACCATCCGGCAAGCAAGAATCTCCTATATGTGTATGACCATTTACAAAGGCTGGTATGAGGACATGTTTCGTTAATGTATTGGCAAAAATTTTATTATAATCTTTATTATCGGCAAATTCGATGCTTGTAATTCGTCCGGAAATTTCATCCCAAGCAAAGCGTTTACACAAACGAACATCAAGATTTTGATCATGTAAAATAACTATATTGAAAAGTTCAGGCATTTTATATGATTGAAGGATTTTTTCTATGCCGTCTTTGACTTACTGAATATGAAACGGTTTGGTTATACGAATGAAGGAAAAAAATTTCTTATCTACCATCTGTTTTTGGTTTCTTGTAAGATATTGTGCCAAGAGATACACCGATGCGACATGCTATCACCAATATGTGACATCATCATTACGTTATTTCACTCTCACTTCATATCATCCTTGTATGATGTCAACCTTGTATCCTTACATTATACTGTTCAAGTGTTCAATACTTTTTCAATATCTTTTTAATCGATGCGCTACTCACTGCACATATGCCCATTGTTCTCTCTTCACTCCGAGAGATTACCGCATCAAACAGATGCAAGAACAAATCGTTGAGAAGGAGAAAGAAGAGAAGAGAGTAGTCGATATCGCGCAGTATTAAGGATACAACATACTCGAGATTATACACCTTTTTGGATGGTATACGTCGTTGGTGTAAAAGTTAGATAGATATATAATAATGTGTGTTAATATTGAGAGAGAAATAAAATCACGTACAACAAGTAATGGAATTGAGCTTGAAGAAATAATAAATAGAGCATGGCTTTAAAATACGTGATCCAACTACGCTGTTACCAATCTTTTTGCCTCATATCCTTCGCTTATTCTCAATTTCTCGTTACAGATATGTTTGCTAGAACGTTTATTATTTCATTCTCAAGTACAGTTGCAGAAAAAAATCAAGGATACATCCGTCATCGTTGAGCGATACTTTTTTCTAGATGATTTCTCTGTGTTTCAGATTTAATCGAAGCAAGAAAGATCGATCAATTTTTTCACAATTATCAAATGACTGAAGCTAATCATGGATAGCATGCATTTCTTCTAGAGTCAAATTTGAAAAACGATTGAGAAAACAATTGTCAATTCTTTATCTACTATTTGTCATTCTTGTTCTTTCGGCGACTTGTATCTTTGACGTGGCAACTGAAAGCTATCATCTGTTACTTCTAATCCTAATATTTGCATCCTCTTCGAGAGTAACATTACGCCACAAACACAAGTGGTTTGAGTAAAAAATAACAGACGAATAAGTCGGAGAAAGACACAAGGTTTAAATAGACAAGCAGTATGACAATTGATGATCAAATCTTTGAATCATTGTTTGTTTGTCCTACACAAACGCAGTGACGGATTTATGGAGAGGGCGCTTGGGGCGATCGTTCCATATCGACAGAACAAAAGACCGTTTTTTTCTAGAAGAAAACGCTTAAAATGGAGCTGAAACTATCTTTATAGAGCTTCAAAATACATTTTATGTGAATAATCGCCCCATATTGAAAAATTATAGATCCGCCGCTGCACAAACAATTCTTTATTCGATTGAAACTATAGGTTTGAAAAATATTGTATACGTTATCATCGAGAAATGTAAAAATGGATTTTTGAAAACTTATCAAATAGTACAGAGTAATGAGATTTGACTGCTTTTGCTAAAAATATTAAGTTTATTTACCTACAAAATTCTTTTACTTAATTGCTACTCATAAAAATTGTCTAGACATTTGTTCATTATTCTTCACATAACACAAAATATAAAAGAAAAAAAATGGGAAAATTGGTAATTGAAATGGATAGTTAGAAAAAATTATTCTTTTTTGATTTTTAATCAATTCGAGAATCAAGTATTCGTGAGAGTAATTGTTTTACATCAAATAATATGAAAATCAATATGAATAAAATCCATGAACGTATTAACAATTATGGATATTTTGATAA